AGGATGCTTTTCTAAGCTTCCTACTTTCAATAGAGCTTCTATCTGTCCCTCTACCTCAGTTGTTACATTCCCTTTAGATCATCCTTTTAACCTTGAGGCATTTGAACCACTTTTGTAAAATGTAATTTATTTCTATAACCGAGAATTGAATACGATTTCAGAACGAAAGGAAAAATTGAAGCTTGAAGTCACCGGAGGGAATCTACCTCTTGCAGGTATGGTAAAACGGGTTTAACATGAGAAGACACGTACTGAAAGCACTATTCTAATGCGCACGAAAGTTAAGTACACTTCCAAGATAATACACAAAAACGAAACGTCTGTGAAATTGAATAACTATACCGCTTCGGCCGCTTTCGACGTAAATTATCAAGACTGAAAAATTAAATGACAGCGAGGCTGAAGGAAGAGAACCGTTAGCTTTAAACATTACTCTCCCTCTCAAAGTTCTCCAGGGATAAGATGCGTACAAAATTTTTCCTTTTTTTTTTTTTTTTTAATAGAAGCTCTGATAAGGTTGATAAGGTGCAATTGTAATGCCGGGTTATCACAACGTGTGTGGCAAATTGTAAAGAGACAAGAAATATCAGTTAAACAAAAAAATTAAACACGGTATAAAACTGTTTTTACTGTGTTAATTTACCTTTATTGGAAACATAGCCTTTCAGGCTCACTTTTCCATCACTGAGGTAAAAATTTACTTCCTATTGCCACAATTATTTGTTAAAGGAATTGACGAAAATGAGCGTGCCGTGAGAAGACCTTGCTTCACAGAAAGGTAAATAGCATTTTTCGGCTGCATGATTTATCCCGGGACAGAATAATCTACTTGGTTTGATATCTAAATGGTGAGTTTTTCTCTGATCAGTCCCTAACTCTGGACGAGACAAACGGCATGTTCCGCCCGTCTAGCGATACAGCCTCGATATAAGGTTTTCGAGTGCATTATTTAAACTTTGAACATCCTTAGCAGGCATTTTTATAAGTACGGTTTAAATGGGATAGTTGCCAATCATGACACATATTCTTTGTTTTTCAGCGGGTCATTGTGTGAACTGTCTCCAAGGATATAAAGGCCTCTCCAGTTCCGGGCCATATTTGCTTTGTTATTGTTTGTAATTTTAAGCGAACTCTATCAGTTTGCTATAAGATCTTAAAATAAATAATCATGCTTTGTTGGAAAGAGGTATATTAAAGTTCAGTAAAGGAAACAAAGCTCTTGCCTTTCTTTCTATCTTTTTTGTGTGTGTGTGTGTGTGTGTTTTTGTTTGCGTGTTTGTGTTTATGTGCGACCATATATTGTCTCCTCGACTTTGGTGAACAAACCTATCAAAACTTCAGAATTGAATAAGACAATTACCCAGTTTTCGATGATAAATGGGGAAAAAAATTTCAAATTAAATTCAGCGAAGTCCAAGAATACTTAAGCTCCGAGGCTCGGTTGGCTGTCGTCATGAAGATTCAGTAACGAACAGAAGATATTGGATTAACAGTCGCAGTACTAAGAATGTAGACGAGCAATACTAATCCCCCTGAAAGGCGTTCAATCTGATGCTTTCGATATTCTTTTTTGTGATCTGAAAATTGAATTTTGTTATCACATCAAATAGGGTATTCGAAAATCTTTTTACACAGTGAAAACAATTTGCTGTAGGGAAATGAAATAAATAGCCCGTGATATCACTTAACAGACAGATAATACGGTAGAGCTGATTTTAAGTGGATACTTAGAGTCCTTCAAAGTTGAGCGTGCGGGTAACTTTTTTATGGACACCGAACGGTAAATGATAAAATTTTTCATCAAAACTCAGCGAATTTTTCGCAGGCGACCGATACGAAACTCCAATTTAAAATTTGCCTTTCTTTTGTACTAACTTCGATTCCCCCTAAGAGAATTAAATGGTTTAATTCATCATGTTAAATATAGCATTCGAGTGATGACAGCATGGAATGTGAACAAAAACATTTGCCAGAAGCGAAGCGAAAGCATTAGCTAATGACTTAGGATGACAATTAAATTTTAAACTGCAAAATTTATTCTGAGTGGATTCTTTAAAACCCCTTCAAGTGGGTGGGATCAATGAACACCGATCTGACCGCCCCAAAACTAGATATTGTTTTGGTATTGAGTGGCGATTAAAAAAATACCACAGATATTTCTCTACTAAGGAACTCAGCTGTGACGTGGTTATGGATGTTACTTCAGCAATAACTTGACAGCACGCGCACAAAGCCTTATCTGGCTAAATATTTTCGATCAGCTTTCTTCGCATCCTCCTGTGTTGTTTTGCCTGTGAACGAAAACATAAACAGACAACTGAGTAAATAACAGAAGAAAGGTACCATTCGTATGAATTTAAAATATGTTAATTTTGCTGCCCAAGAAAAGCCGATTCAATTCAGTTCTGCCAAACTGTTCTTTGACTGTTGACACACCATATTTGAGTTCATATATATATTTGTTAACCGCATCTATTTCTGGAAATTTTTCTGTCGAATGTTTGTTTAAAATGAAATCTCTTCAAGTCATTACTTTCCAGCATTCAGATCGCCGGTTATTAAAACAAAGTTTAGCCGTTGTTTAACAAAAATGCGTTCTAAACTACCTTGAATTTAGCTGAATCGCTCATTTCAACATTGGTTTTTGTTCACAGTGTCAAGAGAGCCAAAAGCTAGCAGTGTAAGGACATTTCTTTCATGAAAACAATTTTGTTAAAGAGAATACATGAGGCCCACTGCTTGCGTACAACCGCGGTTTAGGTTACACCTCGTGCAAATAACCGGCCCAAAATATACACGGATCACGGCAGTATGCACAGCTCTTAAAACGTTGAAAAAGCTGGCGAATTAATAAGGGGTCGGTTCAATTTTCCGTCCGCATCTGGACGTTCGTTCCAAATTACGCCGTAAAACGAAGACATTAGCCTTTTCGTCAGGCTTCGAGCCTTTTCTGTCATGGAGTCCCCTGCGTAATTTTATTCAGCTAACAATAGTTGTTTCAGTTCGCACGAGAGCCGCAAATGTATCGATAAGAAGAATTGCTTTTGTTTTCTACTGCGGTTCCTAATACGGTTATTAGCATGAAATTTCTTCAACATAATCAAAAGTAAGAACAAAACGTAGCAAGAGAAGTGATGCTATGATATACAACAATAATATTTTAGACAAAGCTACGGTAGAATTCATTCCTGAGCGACAAAAAAGTTATCAAAATTAATTTAAAGTTCACAGGAGACAACTCATGGCTAGATATTTTATACATAGTATACTCAATTTATTGTGTCCATGTCGGGTTAATCTTTAATTTGTCTGATACAATCGTCCTCATTCCTCGCTACGTAAACAGTGACAACATCAACAATAACTCTCGAGACATTTTCCCTTCAAAACTTTACAAACTCAAAGCAGATACTACAGAAATAAGTTAAGGCTTGCTTGATCGAAAAAATTTAGATTTGGAGCTAACTTATTTGGTAGAACTCACTCGGAGCAGAAATTTTAAAGGTAAAGGAATCAAAGAAATACAAAAAATGCCCTTGATGATATATACCGTTGTGGAGGACCTTTAAGTGCAGTTGTATGCTCTATGGAGGGGCACGCCAATAACTCGACGAGTGAAATTGCCGAATTTCTTGTGTTCTTTAATTTGGTTCATTGTTTCAGTAAAATATTCATCATATCCTTAAGCCACGGTACTTAACAATTTTGCGGGAAGGAAGTGACAAGTTAAACTCTTTGTGCGAAATAGTACCTCTGGAAAGATGTCTTAGAATTACAATTAAGAATGCATGTATTGATTCCTAAAAACAATGCGTGAATGATGAATGATATACAAGGAAAAATTTATTTCCATCACGTTATAACGTGCCGCGAGCCTATTGAAGGTCACGATCAAACTATAGCAATTAAGTTACGGTCATGTAAAGTCACTTTTAAAACATCTTTGCAGGAAGTTTCATCTAAGAACGAAACCTTCCGTAGTTATTTAGAAAATTAGGACATGATACTTTTTTGTTTTCTGTATCTTGTCTTGAAAATTTAGTATGCTCGTGCCTGACCTTGTTTGCAGTTCACTAACCTGAACGACCTGGTATAAATTGGCGTGAAATGCTTTTTCAATGGAACAAGTGACCTTTCACAAGTGTTTTAGTTAAGTTTAGGCTTAGGACACGCTATTTATTGAGTTGTAACAGGCTACGGTCATGATTATAGATTAGAAATATTTTGACAATACCCGTAGATGGATAGATCCGTTTACGGCTATGGACTTCAATTGAAACCCCAAAGCTTCTCGTTACGTAAAAACCGACCTCAGAACGTTCCTCTTGTCCTATTTGAATTTTTATCACGCAAAAAAAATTATTTCCTGACGAAAATAAGAGCATTAATAGAGATGTAAAAAAAAACGACCGGATTTTTCGTAAAATAGGCTGTCGTTTATGACCCTCGCTAAAAAGTCACCATATTAAATTAGGCCGAGGTAGCAGATTCTGAGACAAAGATTAACCGTTCGCGTCTTGGCTGGTTTTTTTGGTTTTGTTTGCTTTTTTAACAGCCCCTTTGAATAAGTTAGCAACGGAGAGCTGATTGAAATGTTTAAAGCGTGTTCTTGCCCATGATCGCTGTTTTTATCTTGTTTTTGACTGATGTTTACGAGCGATATTCCATCCTCGGTTGGCGGAGTTAAAATATCTTTCTACCAGTTCAACTGTAATCGTTTTTTTGTCAAATGCACTAATGGATGTTCATCAAATGTGATCACTTTGGATGATATAAGTCATTAAAGGAAAAATAAACAGCGTTTATGGATGCACGCAACAAGTTTTGTGATCGCAAGGGACAACAAAGCGAATTTAAATTGTAACTGCACGTGTAGTGTCGCACGGTCCTAAGTATGGAGAAACGTACATCATGAGGGCCGGTAGGAATTAGTTAGGAACTGTACGCTGACCATGTAAAAACGGGAAAGATAAATATTATTTCAACGCAAGCAAACAAACTAAGAATACAATGAAATGTTTATTTTGGTATCGAGGGAGTTTCACTGGTGTTGTAAAGACGGCTAAATTCAACATACTTTATCTCAAGCTCATTCCTAAGTATAATTTCACACCCAACATGTACGACAAGAAGTTCGATTGCCTCTCTATTACATGCACCATTATCAAAATTCAGACTTGTTTTCTTTTATTTTCCTGCAGTTTGATGAGTCACTTAAACGCTTCTTTCTAATTTATGCAGCAATAAAGATGCAGTCTTGACCTAACATGGTGCTATTGTTGCATAGATTAAATCTCTTTGTCAATCAGATTGTAAAAATCACCGATGATTTTAAAATTGAATATTTTTGACAGCATTAATGAAGCATGTGCTTGAAAAAGAATTTGTGACAGTCCCTTTCCATCTAGATTTACTCGTTTCCCAAGTGATTCTTAAAAATGACATCATGACCAGCTATGAACGTATTGTTGAACTGAATAAGTAACGATTGTCCGGTTTAGTATAACATATTACTATCCCGTAGCTCACTCCGTTTTCTTCCGTTCTTCAATTCGTACATAGAACGTCTCAGGTGTTAAAGTGAGACCAAAATTACCTTCAAGATTAATGCCTCGATACACACTCGACAAACCTTCCTGTGAAAATCGGAAGCTGTGAAGCAGTGTTGCAAGAAGGACGGGGATTGTTCTTAAGGCCAGTGATTCTCCAGGACATTTTCGACGACCTGCAGAGAATGGAAGGAACCCTCCAAATGACTTTGGATCGATCAGCTCACCATCACTGTTCAGGAAGCGCCATGGATTAAAAACATGCGGATCTTTCCAGATTCCTGGATCGCGATGCACAGACCACAGGTTAACAAGGACCATCGTGTCTTTCGGGATAACAAAGTCGCGGATTTTCGTCTCCTTGGTCGTTGAACGGGGCACTGAGAGAGGAGCAAGGCTCGTTACCCTCAGAAGCTCGTAGACTGTGGCTTGGAGTAGGGGAAGCGAGGCCAGGTCCTCAAGAATGGGAAGGCGTTCTCGTCCAACTACGTGGTCTAGTTCGACTTGGAGTTGACGCTGGATGTCAGGATACTTGATCAGGTACGCCAGGGCCCAGGTAAGAGTTGTGGACGACGTGTCAAAGGCCCCACCGAAGAGATCTGTTATAGCTGAGATGATCTGCTTATCATCGAGCAGAGGAGCTATTTCGTGGGTGTTCTCTGTAACTGGTCCATTCTCTTTCTCTTTCATCATTTCTTTCTCGAGAACATTGAAGAAACTGTCAGCCACGTTACGAACGTGCCCTTCGGTGCAGCTCTCTTTGTTCTGCATGAACATCTCAGCAACGCGTTCAAAGGATTCCTTCATTAAGGATACAAAATCGGAGAGTGACTTATTGGGAAGATACTTCAAGAAAGGGAAAAAATCCACATGGCTGTTGCTCTTTAAAGCTTTTCCAAAGCTCTCGGAAAGGTGAAGTATTCTACCAATAGCTTCATCTTGGTATGAGAGATTTACTCCAAAGAGTGCATTAAGAATAATGTTTCCTGTGGCAAACTTGAAGGTTAATAGAGGATCAAAGGGTTTGCCTTTCTGTTGTTTAAGGCAGAAGACCAAGCGATTACATTCCTTCAACAATTTTTCTTCCAAGTTGCTTTTATCCTTTGCAAAATTCTGCATCGCGGAGGCACTGATCTTACGGGTTAGACGCCACTGTGGAGTGTAATCACTCAGGGTGAGACTGGTGCCCTCACGATTGCCAAGTTTAAAAGTGTGGAGCTGTGGTCTCCCAGCAAAGGCTGTGGAATGCTTTACAAGGGCCTCTTGAATTGTATCGAGTCCATTTAGCACCACCACCAAGCGATTCCCAAGCATCAGACTGAACACGTCCCCGTATTGCTGCGCCATCTTGGTGAACTCAATATGGGGATTTTTTCCCAAACGGAACATCGCACCTGTTGTAACAAATGGCAGAAATGATCAACATCACAACAGAACTACACTACTAAAAAAAATTGAGTTGAGTTGGAATAGCTACAAATACACCGGTTTGGGTAATATGAGTCTCACTGTGCCACTGCTTCCGAGACGAATTAATGGAAGTTGAAAGAAGGGAAATTTTTGTTCCAAACCAGTTGTCTTTGTTGCACACACCTTTAAGTAAAGACATGTGAACAGTACACTACTATGGATGTGAAAGATACAAATAAAACTGGGACTTGAAACTCTAGTCTGTCGTCGATTGAATAAAAGGGGTAAGTTTCGAAAAAACTGTGGTGCTGCGTCGGAGGGAGAGTATAAAAGGGTAATTTAGTATAATCGAATGAGTTGATAACGTAAATTGGCCACCGTAAAGAATTTCAAAGCTGACATCGAGCGATAACCCTTTGTCATCGCTCTGACTAAGGGCTAACGCTAGAAACGTCAGTTTTAAAACTCTTTACGGTAGCCAATTTACCGGAGTTATCGGCTCTGTCGTCGATTGTTTAGCTTTCCTGTATCTTGGCTCACTCCTGTGAAAGTAGAAATAAGTGTCACATTGCATGCCATGCTAACCTTATCATGGTCTATCTCAGCCTGAACATAAAGGTTATCATCAAAGTACATCTAAAGTATGAAAATTTTTACACTTCAAAGCTATTTAAGTCCGATTGTGGCATGGTGCTCATACTTGGTGAGTAGCAAGGACAGCAATGACAAAATAAGTTATCAAAGTAACTCAACGCTAATCGATTAAGACCTACAGTCTTGAAACGCTATGGTTCGAGTCGAAACCGATTGCGGTTCAAACTAGACCTAGATATTCGTACATAGGAGGTTTCCTTTAAAATCCACGTGTCCTAGGAGATGAAGCCCATTGGTAAAATAGCCCTGATAGCCCAGCCTTGATAGCCCGACCGTGATAGTTCACCCTTGCCGATTGCTCTCCAGCTTTACCCAGCATATGACGTGAAGTTCCTGTGCTTGTCAAGACTCGTGTTTGACGCTTTACACCCTAACGCAGTGTGCACACTCTCCATACTGTACTTTATGCATTACTTGAAGTGCTGACAGTTAAATTTGTTTAGCAATCGAGAGATTCTTTAGATCGTGATCATTTCCTTAATTCTCGTGACCTCAATGTGTGATTCACGGATGTGTTTAGCTTTGGCATCTTTATGGCGTGGCTCGCCTTCTACTGTTTTTAAGTTAAAACGGAATTTCTTGGTCTGCCTTTTCAAAATGGCGACTTAAACCTCGTCGTCTTCTTTGGCTTAATTTTCATCTAATGACCGATAATTCCAGAAATTGCTCCTCCGTAAAAGATTTTTAAGTTCATGTTCTGAGATCATGCTCTGATTCATGCTCTAGGTTCATGTTCTGAGATCATGTTCTAAGTTCATCTCAAAATAAACAAAGTTGCACGACTGTCGGGAGAGAACATGCAATATTCGTCATGTCCATAAGCTCTCTTTAAGCAAGAGACACTACCTGTACTACTTCTTCAGTCGAAACAGGTTTTTCGGTTGATTTTAAAACCAAAAAGTTTCTCCGTTGAACGAGCACCTCCTGCTGCTTCTTCTTTGCCCTCCCCTTCTTATAGCTTCATTTTTTGCGGTTTACCTAATTCAGCTGTGCAGAGTCGTTCAGTCCGATTTTTTCGAAAAGAGACGATTTCAAAGAAAGCCGTCTTAAAAAAAATATGTTTACAAATATCAGAATGTGCACTCACACTAACTCACAATAATGGGCTTGGGTAAAATAAAACACCATTGCATGACTTTTAAAGATCTTTCAGAAGGTTAATTCAGGGTATGCTGAGTTTTCTGTGATGAACAACGACGTGGGAGAAAAAGTGAAAAAGCGTAGAGTATAAGAATGTTAGAAAAAAAAGCAAACTCACCTATCACTGGTATGCCCCAAGGACCTGGAGGCAACTTGGAAAAATAATTTCGCCATATCGCTTTTCCTGTTAGAAAAACACAGGCAAGAAGACATAGGACCGAAATCTGGCCAGGTGATAGAAAATCTGGGAACGAAAACCACATAGTGTTCTCGTAAAACTGCGAACGTAGCAAGCAGTGGTCTTAAGTTTTCCACGTTAAGCAAAAATTGTGTTGCGATCAAGGTTCAAATGCCCTTAAGAGGGGTATATTGAGGTATAAATATGCGGAAAATTGCTTTCACGCCATTGAGCCTCTATTTATTTAGCGGCGATCATCACGCCATGCTTCTGATTTGGTGGCTCTCAGTTCACGGGGCGACCGCCTTTTTTGGTTATGTGATTACTGCGACCCTTAAATCGTCCAAAAGCGCTTTTTTCTGCTAAACTTTTAATTGAATTCATCTTATTAAAGAAGGTGTCAATCGGATCGGTGATTTCCTTGTAATTTGCGAAAGTTGCGTATCCTAAACTTATTGTGAAGAGGCAACTTTTCAACGACAAGTTCAGCACAGGAAAATGTTGATTGACCTTGAGAGGCTCCATTTATCGTCAAATCTTTTTTTTTTAACAGATTTCGTGATAAATTCTATTTTCGACGCTTTTGTGGGGAAATATGACCGTCTAGCTCAAAGGTCACTCTGTACATATTTCATAATTCGGCTATCAAGAAATGCCATTTTATGTATTTATTTTTTGTTTTAGTCAACTTGTTGTAACTTTTTTGTTCTTAGAACACGTTGAGGCAATTGGTAATTATCCTGTCATGTTGTTGAATCGAGGTAACTAGTGAGAAATTTGTAGGGAGAACAAAATGAGCCTCGTTAGGAGACGTCGACGATCCTTTCAGAAACGTCTGATGACACGATTTTGTCAGATGATCTAACTGGGCTGTGTCTAGTCTGCGGCTTGAGAATATCGTGAGATAATCTTGCCATTTTGTCATGCAATATTTACATTTTGGCTACTATGCCAAGATGAATGTCAAGTTTTAGCTTGACAGCTAGCCGCCAATGTTTACATTTCTGTCAAATCGTGTTTTTAGGATCCTAAAAACAGCTTTTTATAAATCTGAACTAATGCGTGCCCGTCAGTCTCGCCTTCGTGCAAGCTATGACTTGGACCTCAGTTTTTATCAAGTAGGTTCATTCTGTACAATCTGAAATGACTACGAAGAGTTTTTTTTTTAAATCTCTTTACAACGAGTCTATCAACACGTTCTAAGAGATATCAATATTTCGTAATCAAGGATACTAAATTAAGTGTTACTGGCAATGGATATTATTTTGTGTTCTAATCAAAGATTTTTAATTGCAAACTTCCGCTCGCGTGTAGGTTTCCTAAGTTGCGATTTGCTATCATACTCAAATAAAACCAGGTTAAACACAATCCTCGTTTATGTTGCTCTCTGAGACCACTAATGATAGAAAGTCGCGACAGAATGTTAGTACATCAAATCTCCTCAGTGTCGGAGGGGTTCACCAGAGATATTGAGTGGTAAATTTCCACACCCGTTCTTAAGCCTATTTTTTACCGCCTACAATTGGTTAAGCAAATACAACCTAACTTATGCCATATTTTAGCCGCCCGTGTCTAAAGGTAGATGTGCGGTTCAACGCTTCTCTAACAATATTTTGGTACAGAAAAGCCGAGACTAGGAGTATGCAATTATTATTATTATTTTTTTTTTTTTTTACTAGTCCATAGAGCGTAGTTTCATGCAGACTTAGAAGATTTTATCGAAAATTCTGTCTTCTTCGAAATTTTTCTTATAAGATAAATCTACGTCGCGGATTTTTGAGAAAACTGCCTTTTAGAAACTCTTCTCATAAAGTCGGCAGGAAAATAATATAAAAAAGTGCCGCAAGTCTAGTATCCGTAGGTTCCGGTTGTAATATATTAAGAAGCATTAAACCTGGATCATGAAAAGATACCGAAGTTTGTTAAATTCGGGAAATGCTCTTCTTAAGATAATTTATGTAGTTTCAGTCATCAATCGGAAACCTGATCTTTGGAGCATTAATCTCACTTATATATCGATGATTCTTTCATGTCAAAATTACGCGACCCTACCTTACGGGACTCTGTCGGAAATGAGACTAAAGAATCTGCTATGTTCCGAAACTTCACGTTTTATTTTATAAAATCAACTTAACCTCCCTCTCTCTCTCACCGTTCTCTGTCTCACGCTCTGGTCTCTCTCATTTTAAATATATAATATGATCCTATTGTTCAATCATCTGTCACTTATCGCAAAAAGTCAACCGGAAATCAATTAACGCTGAATAATCTCTCACAACCCTTTACGGGACCTTATGGGGTTTCCAATTTCGCGCATACGCAGCTTGTGACTGATAGGAAAGGGTGAATGATCTCCATTCTACGGTGGTTGTTTTTTAAAGTAATAAAAGCCTTAATGTCCTTCACTCATTTAAACCACTGTCTAGCAAGCTTAAACAAAATGTCGGCAAGTGTGTAAAAATTAAACTATGATATGCAAATCATATTTTGTATTCCCTGTTAGAGGCAAGAAAAAAAACCGCAGGGCTTTTCAAATGTTCAAAAATCCCGCTATTTTTACTATGGTTTTTTCGAGTCCGCGAAAGTTCCTGACATGCGCAGACTTTCGTCCCAACCGACAGGCTACGTTAACGACATTCACCGACGATATTCACAAGGTTTGATCCCTCACACATTTTCCATTTGAATCGTGTACCTGGCGGACTATACGGTCTATACGGCCCAACAACAATCAGCGAGCGAAGTAAAAAACTTATAAGTGAGAAATAATATGCAAACTAGTAAAAAGCGACTGCAGACTAAAATTCTTTTGAAAGCTGTTAAAATATAATTGGAATTTTCTACAAAAAGAAATCAGGTGAAAAACTAATGGGTACAAATCATATGAATATTGTACTACCCCTTAAACCTATGAAGTGTTATCAGGGTTAAAATTACCATGCAAATTGTGTTTCAGTTTCAATTCAAAACCTATCCTTTTGTTTACAACGAGTTTCGAAACTAGTCTTTTTCTTTGCAATTACTTTCTAGTAGTACCTGTTGCTGCATGCCTCTTTATAAATAAACTTTATCCCCGACAAATTATTGCTGCGCATTTGTTGTGGTGAATGATACACACGGGATGTCCGAATTTTGATTTGTAAATATATTTTTCATAATTTTCAGTTTTGTGCACAGCCTATGCATCAAATTTATATCATAAAATATAGTATCTATCTAAATAC